ATGTGCTGCCATGGCGAGCTACATTTTCGAACAAATACTGTTATTCCAGTGAAATAAGACTTGATAGAAGTTCCTGTGTGAAGTTTTCTTTGAGATTTTTTCTTGCACCCACAATTCTTAATCGAATTCGACTGCGACCGTTTTTCCTACTCCTACTAAACAACCTAATTTTGAAGTTGGGGTGCATGGAAGAGCAACTTTGTTGAATACCGCCTCCTTTATGTATCGTTTGTTTATTATTATAATTATTATGATACTTCAATATTGGGCCTGGCCTTCATGGGAACGTACTCTATTGAATCCTCCGAATCATCAATTTTCAAAAACTATCAGAAACGTTTTCTGTCGAAAATATGAAATGATTGTCAATTTCCGGGCATCAATCGAAAGTGATCGAAATTTTATACATAATTGAGTGTCGTATCAAATATTGGATTGCGGATATTCCTACGCATTTCCAGTAGTCTACCGACACCAATGCCACCCAAGAGAATCAAGAGAATACAATTTAACTTTAAGTGATTTACAGCGCCTACTGGGAATGAAAGTTATGATTGAATTTTTTCACATTGATCGACGACCGTTTTGTGTCCTGCCGGTATGTGTCTGAATTGGTATACAGGCAGAACAGATATCAAATGGCAATTGCTATAATTATGATTTCGATATTATTATTTATCACAGTTAATTTTCATTCAATTCCTATAGACATATCCATATATATATATATCCATAATTTTATTCGCTTCATATATTGAGGTAAACCTGAATGAACTTCACTTCCTCACAGCATTTTTTGTTCTTTGAAAAATATAGGGTTATAAGAAAAAACAGAATTTACTTTTCGATCCATATAATTCTTATTAATGTACCCATTACATTGATTTCAGTCGTGTTTGAAAGAGAATTGAGCAAGACAAAACGGCAACTGCATATTTATTTAATTCCTCTATGAAACAAAATGGCACATATAGATACACCTAAACTTGGCCAAACTTTAAAACCTGCTGCAACATTTTTGAGTCGCTCTGTATATTTTTGCGTAGGATATTCTGAGAGCGCGGACTTTTCTGAGCAGAACAAGAGGTAGAACTTGCTAATCCGTTGAAACATAAGTGACATATGGCAGAATAAAACCAGGTATGTTTTCACATCTGGATTCCGATTTTCACGCGTTTGTTGATTTGCCTGTATTTTCTGTTTGAAAAATAACATAAGAACAAAGATAATATCTTCATCGTCTCAGATAGGCCTAGAAATTATGGAAAATGTATAGTATTTTCCATGATTCAACGCACAGGAAAAAGAAACATGAATATAAACAAAACACAAATGTTTGACAAGATCAAATATCTGTATGCTTCTCATGAGCTTCGAGTTTTTCCATTTCGGTGAATCCTGGCCTCCAAGTCATCCCACAGAAAAAAGTCGCTCGGCAGAAAATTGTTGTGAAATTTCATACAACCTGTATCTTCTCAAAATTAAAATTTTGATAAAGATTTTTTCCCAAGAGCATGCGGAATGAAGTACCTATCGACTTTTCTGCATATATTTGCGTGCGCAAAGTAACAAAAAAGATACACACATGAATAAATGTGAATAATTCCGAAGAAAAGCGATATTGGTTACATGAAAATAGAAAACCAAATGTGAAAATATAGGTACCTGTCTTTATCCTGTCAAATGTCAGTTATAGTTTGACGGATTTGCATGTTTGACCTCTCGTTCTGTTCAGAAAAATCCACGTTCTCAGAATATCATACGCAAAATTATACCTACAGTGCAACTCAAAGAAGTTCCAGCAGGTTTTTGATTTCGGCCAATTTTGTGTGTCCGTCATTTTGTTTCATGGAGGAATTCAATAAATATGAAGTTGACGTTTCGTCTCGTTCAATTCTTTTCCAAACAAGACCAAAATCTATGGAATCGGTTCATATCCTACTTTACCCATCCTTATCAAAGGTCTCCACACAGGGTCTCTCTCAATTTGAAATATCAGAAGTTGTTTTTTCACTTTTATTCTCCAAACAATTGCGAAATCGATAAATTATAATTATGAATCATGGCAGCATCTGACGTACAATCTTTCTTGTCCTGGGGGTTGCCTACACACATTCGCCGAATTAAAGGAATATATCCTAGGAGTCGGCTCGCACATGAATACCATCAGCTCTGAACTCTTGAAGAGTAATCATGTGAAGCTGATTTAGTGTCCTACATTATTTTTTAATTATCACCGTCCCTTTCAAAGAATTCATTTATACACTCTGTATTATTTTTGAATACATTGATTTCAATAAATGGATTTCAATCGGTACATTAATAAAAGAGATAATTATCGGGAATTCCGGATTTTTTTTGACAGCGCTATAGAATCTCCGGACCCCATCAACTCTGTATTTCCAAATAGAGATCTGGTTTAGTTTGGTCACGTTCCTTGACCATAGTTATTTGAACTTCGAATTGTCCATTTTAGTTATTGGATAAACATCTGATGCTCTGCTGTACATATATATTTATGTATATTCAATCGAGAGTGTAGATAATGATTTTCATGAATTTTCTGAAAAATTGTTTGAAGAAGCCCATGTGCCCAGAGGAATCATATGTAACTTTTCCGTATATGTTTGTTAGTTTGTTCTTGACATGCCCATCTTAGGGTTTCGGTGCCCCATGGCACGAGATTTGTTAGTGCCCCTATTTTTTGCGTAGTCGACTAAAACACGTAATGAAACATCATTTATTCATGAAATAAAAACATGAAATCTCGCATATTGAACAAAAAATTGAATATCTAGTGGTTGAACTGAAAACATTTTTTGAGAAAGACAGGTATACTCAGTGAAATACAAAGCATAATACCCAAAACATGTTTTCTTGATTTGATTTCGGCAAATCTGTTAATGAACTCCGTGAAATCATTGTTGTTTCACGAAAGTGCCTTGAAGGATTATGCCCCTCTAACGCAAATTAATTTTCACCAACTTCAATTCTGAAAATGATCTTTCTCCTGTACAGTTGGATGTATGGGTGTACAAGTATATCCTAACAGTATCCATCTCATACGGTCACTTGTACTCTCTCGAAAATCAGTGTCGGGCAAGCTGACGGGTCATCGAAAATGTTATTATTCTTTTCAGATCTGAACCTTGTCGAGCCAAAATTACTTCACACTAAATTGTGAAAATAAATCTACATAACAGATCCTCATTTATAGGGACGTATTTGACTTACATTTTAATCAAACCACCGATTTTTAGCCGACTCAATGATTGAATTGATAAAAATCTGAATGACCAGTTCAATCGCATGACAAATACTATACAAAAAACACTACTCACTGTTTTACTATTAACCAAACCGATTTTGTACACTTCGACACGTATTTCGCTAGCTATGTTTGCATCTTCAGGAGAAGATTGAAACTAAATGCTATATCCTAGAGGGCTATACTTATATACGGAGAATTTGTTCACCCAACCGTGCGAATAGACAATAAATGCCAAGTTGATGTTATTCATGGTTGGGTTCACATTTTATATATATTACTAAACTATACAGAGGGCAAAATGGGATAGGTCCATTATCCTTATTCACACCAGTACTCAACGGGGTAGAAATTCCGTTCGCCCTAGAGGCAAAATACTTAGGAGTCATCTTTGACCATAAGTTAACATGGAATCAACACCTACAAAAAATTGTTCAAAAAAGTACAGTAGCCTTCAATCTGTGCAGACGAATGTGCGGGAAAAATTGGGGACTGCAACCAAAAATGACCACATGGCTCTATGCAGTCAACTCTATGCAAGTTAACTCAAAACTAGTATGGGACTGCTTAGAAACCCTAAATGCACTGGGCAGTCAGAACAGACTGACTCTAGCATGGGTACCAGCACATACAGGGTACGAGGGCAATGAAGAGGCAGACTCACTTGCCCGAGCAGGAGCAAACAAAGCTCTGAATGGCCCAGAACCCTTCTGTGGTATTGCGAAAGCTCTACAAGAGACTAGTATCAAATCATGGATGCAAACCAAATCTCAAGAATGGTGGAACAAATCGCCAGGAATGAGACAGGCAAAAGAGTTTATTAAAAATTCATCGCCAACATTCACAGAATATCTACTAAGCCAGAAACGAAGTTCAACTAGAATACTAGTGGGACTTCTCACAGGGCATTGTAGGCTCAACAAACACATGAGTACGATAGGTCTGACTGAAGAACTGCTGTGCAGGTTCTGTCAGGAAGAGGAGGAAACAGCAGTACACATACTTTGCCACTGTGAGGGCTTGTCAAGACTAAGGTTCCTTACGCTGGGTGAGGAAAAACCAGAAGCCCAGAGATACACAGGGAATCTGAAAGCTAGCCTATGGAGTCTCATAGAGAAGACGGGGCTAGCCGAAGAACTCTAATCGATTTTGAGGGCAGACACAATAGATCTGAAAAGGTCGCGGTGTGGAGGCAGATAGCCCGAAGGCCCCATTCTAAATCTAAATCTAAAAAAAAAAATCCTTATTCACAACTCTATTACTAGGTATTCTTAAATATCTCTAAGCTTTCATATGCATCATTTTCTAAAATGCTCAACTAATTCGAGGTTATTGATATGTCTGTTATGATTGTGATTGAACATGTGTTCAGCTACACACGATTTACCTAACCTACAATATTTATCAAAAATGTGCTAAGTGTTCTTTGGACCTTGTGATGAAACATATATAGGCCAAACCAAGCGTCCCATAAAAACAATAACTTCTCTATCCACTTTTATTTGTTCATCTGGAAAAACTGAGTAAAAATAAAAAACATGATATGTTTACCGCGATCTTCCAATTCTATATACCTCAAACAAAACTTGTAACCTTCTACTATCTTCGTTGGACAGAATGCAGATGTTTAATACTTGCACGAAACCAACATTATCGTTTCCTGAAAGAAACATATCAGTCATCATATTGTACTTATCTGTTTCAATAATACAACAATTCAATTATTTTTCAGAGCGAATAGTGAAATCAACGAGTACAGTGAGTACACCGAAGTACATTGAAACGAAACCCCGCAAGCCTGTACACAAAGATAAACCAAAGAAACTGAAACAACCAAGAAGGAAGGAAAGTTTCGACAATAAGAATGAGGAAGAACAGGAACCATCAACGCATTTCCTGCCAGAGTTACAGACTCTTTTACCCTCTACATATACCATCGGCACAACCAGCAGTCGTCCATCGTGGATTTTGCTCAAAGTTAACAACAGGTGTGCACATTCCTCATTAAATGGATTCTACTTCACTCTCGTTGCTTTCATTGTTCTTCGAAATAATAATCATCTGTGAGTCAACTTGAAGTTAGTCATTACAGTTCGAAGACAACAGAATGAGATCCTCCAAACCATACCACAGTTATTGTACACAAACATATTTTAGCAATTCGCTCATGCATATGAACATAATTACAATTTTTTGTAGACTGTCTTCCTTATATATTTCTATGAAGAAAACTCTTCTTAGTTCCATATCAACACGTCTTCCTGTTTTGGAAAATACATTTAATCTGAGTGCGCGCCCATAGGTACGCAGAGACTTCAGCACAATTGACATTCTCATAATGTATATTCTAAATAACAAGTTCATGAGTTTTGATACAATTAAGGTATACTGAGATCTGAGGTCTCCACTTTGTGGAGTTATATTGAATGTCACGCATTTCATAAGGTTTAAACAGGGTCATTAAGTATATAATTCTCAATAACTCTGAAATCGAATGAATTTCAAGTCATATTGAGATAAGTTTGGAATGTGTGGCTGTTTGACCAACACGAAATTTAAGAAACTTCAACTTTCCATTTGTTTTCGTTCACCATTTCATTTGAATCCCTTGCACGTATAGACCATAAGGCAAGTTAGCCAACTTTCATTAACTTTCTGATAACGTAATGATGAAGTAGCGAAGAAGATTATTACTTGAGGTATGAAAATATTAGTCGAACAATGATGAGGTGTCGCGTTACTCTTCGGAGTCGGAAAATAAATGGGTGAAAGTGACAGCAACGAGTAGCATTTCTGTTTTTTCTAGGTAATCACCCAATTTTTATACAGGACAATAATGTATTCAATAAATAACCGAAAACAAAATGGAAGTTGCTTACTATCAAACACTGTAATTAGTCACTAGGGAACTTACTTATTTAGAGGGACAATAAGATTCATGAACAAAACGAAAATATAGCTTAAGTATTCTCACTTTACCAAAACATTCTGTGAACCTTCAGATTCCTGGATGTATTCAGAAAATTTGAAACTTATATCTCATTTTTAATCATAAAACATTGGTTCAAAGTGCTATTCAATCCCTGACTATGTACCCAGAATATTTCCATAGAATGGATTATATAAAAAGCATCCAAATTGATATTGATTCAAAAAAGTTAATGATACTCATGCTCAGTTATCAGAGTGAATATGAGAATAAATGTATCGAGATGCATCTCAACACCAAGTACAGTCTGGGAATAGGTCTAGATAATATTCGAATGATTGCATTCCATTACTAAAGTAAAGCAACATATCCAGAGTTTTGATGATGAAACTCGATTATTATTCAATTGTGGAATTAAGTAGTAAGAGTATAGTAAGATAAAGTAGTGACAATAATTTTTCGTGACCATTTACGAAATAATATTCTAATGAGAAATGTTTTACACGAAATAGTGGCAGTATATTCAGAATTTATTTTTTCAAACTCTGTATAGCAGAAATCATTCCGGTTGGACACATTTGGAAAATCCCAGAAACCCCAAAGTCTTCCGAATGATAAGAATTTGTGACTAATTAACATACTCGAAAAAATGGTCACGTTGATACCGTGAATGGTTGTGGTATTTTGATCAAACTGAGCTGATCAAAATTAGTTATCGCTGTCTCAATACCCTATACCATATGTACACTAAGTATTTACAACTCGAAGAAAACTATTTTAGTATGGTACCCAACAATATTCAGTACCAAGCTGGTCATTTGACCGAGTAAACAGTTTATACCACACTGACCAAGAACCAAGATAGTACTGACTTGGTTTGAATATTATCATTTTAGTCGCAGCTAAGCAGGACACAGTATAAATGTGACTAATAACGAAAAATGGATTATCAAAATCTGTGAATCATATACAGAATCAGTACGCTAATTTGTCACCAGATGAAAATTATATTATCATTTTTGTATTAGAATTTGTTGATTTTATATGAAATATATGAAGTTAATGTTCTCATTATGTTTTTGAATCCAATGACTGTCTGTCTGATTTATAATTCTAATAATCTAAGGTGAACAATCATGAGGAATCGTTTATTTAGACTATAGTTGAGATATTGAAATTGATATTTTCTCTCTGGAACTCTTTTGTGAAGATCAGTGGAACTCAATTATTCTAATATTATTATGAGTCAGTCCAGAGAGAAAATATCCAAGAATACTATCTGAGAACTGTTAAATGGATTTGTTATGTAATTGAATTGGTGTAAATTATATGAATCATATACTATATATCTTTACCTCGAGCAAGTAACTCTTGTATGTTAAATGACAATAATATAATTCAATAAAATATTTATATACTGATCATTTGTTTATATCTGATACTGTACCCCGACATTCCTTCTGAAATTGAGATAGAAACCTCTATTTTGAGATAATAAGAGGATTTATAAGTTTTGGTTTTTCTCATGATGTCATGTCATGTCATGATCAAAATAAACAATAGTTGATATTGAAAGTGTCTCCAGAGGACTCTAGCAAATAATTTTTTCTCAGTGTCTTTCTGTGTGTCACTGATTTTTTTTAATCAATATCCTATGATATTATGATATAATCCACATAAAAGCTTCCCCCTCCCTATATATCTCAGCTATTGGACCTTGCTATTCTAACCAATTTTGGACTAATATGAATAATCATCAATTTGATTAGTTTTCCAGAGACAAACATCATTATGACCACAGCCGTGCGTTTTTAATGAAATTAGGATGTTGATATTTTTCATGAAATCGTACCTATTAGGAATTTGTTTGCTGAAAAACCAACTTCATATAATTCTTCCTTATGGTTTCGAAATCCCATATGCTAAAAATCACTTAATTCCTGCCTCGAAAAAATAGTGAAATTGAATTTGAATACAAATTATGACACGTTCAAAAACTGCAGTAGGTGTAAATTCATGGTTTGAAAGGCAAAAAAAGAAATACTTATTTTTGAACGCACTGTTTCCGAGTAAATGTTTATTCACGTTCAAAAAATGCTAATTATATGAGTCTGTTGTTCTGAAACATTCCATGGGAATTATATGATGATTCACATAAGATAGTTCAAAACCATGAACAATAATATGTGGATCGTTTTTGTTCAAAAACATGCCTATAATAATATGATTCCATGAAAAATCGACCACTTTTCATCTCAATAAAAATGTACGGCACTGTCCAAAATGTTGTTCGTTTCTGAAGAACTATATAATTGATGACTACCGACAAAGCTCAAGGTTAATGATATGAGGATGTCCTGGTAATGCTTCAGCTTTTATTAATGTTAAGTTTGTGAATCAAGGTCTAGATGTTTCTTGTGCGTTTGACACTTGATATTTATTCAGCATCACGAAGTAAGCTTCAAAAGTTCTACATATAGATGGATAACTGTCATGTTAAGTTACTTCATTCAACTTACGCTTATCGAAACAGAACCTAAGTATACTCGCCTGATGATAACTATCTAACTAATGAAACTGGGCTATTCCAAGGGCTATGTGATGGTTCAACGACATATCATCTAATTCATCATTGAGAGAATTCAACATATAGGGAGATATTAGATATTGTCTATGCTCGAATGCTTTAGTATCGCCTGTATCACACTAATGCCCTCGAATGAGCTGATAACACTTCTCATTTGATCTCTCTGATTCTGAGTAAACTCGTTATCTAGACATATTTCAGTAATATCATTGAACTGAAAAGAGTTGGCAACAATGTAGAGAGTATCACCTGATGAAACTCAACACTGAAATGTCTCAACTGAAATCGTGGAAATCAATGGACACACCAAGTTTATTGCAAAAATCACTAGCTAGAATGAAAGATTGTGAAAGGGAAGGTACTACTATTGCTGATATTATTTATATTCCTCCATTTATTTGAATAAAGGTGAATCTACAACACCTTCAACACTTTGATTAGCCCCATCTGCCGTCAATACATGGTTCAGATATAGATTTCTGATTTTTGAATCAAGATTTTTTCATTGACTTCAAACCTCCTTGACTTATTACCGTTATATTGACACCACTATCTAGAAGTTCATTAATTTATACATCAAGAAGTGTAATTTTCATATAAAGCCTATAATCAGTAACTTCTTTCACTAATGAAGGAGCTACAACATTATGGACATTTTTTATATCATTAGTACTATTCCAGTTCAAATAATTGGCTCTCGAAATGTTTGTAGAAAGTTGAGAGCCTCTATCAACAATCTCCTCTATCAGTTTGCCTCATACTGCTCACAATCTCGCAATACTACGTCGGATGCTTCACATTCCAAAACAAAACTTTTATCTGATACCTGACTTGCAAGATCGAAAGGTATGATTTGCTAAACTACATCTCCAGCAAATAACAGGAATTTCATTAGTACTGACAGAAACAATAGATGACGAAAGAGTAGATGTGTTACAAGGGTTGAACTACTAACAGTGGAACTAACATTATGAGCTTTGTTCTGCTGAAATTTATTTCCAAAATTTTCACTTCTTGATTTCGAATTTGAAACATAGGAGTTATCTAGCATTGATATGGACCTATTTTGGGAAGTTGAACTAGGATATAGCATATCAGATTCTTGTTAACTTTTTACATTAATTACCTAAAACTGAAATAGACTTGATTTCACTAAAAGCGTCTGTAATAAGGTCTTAGCCCAATTTTGATGTAATCAATCTTCATTCGTCTTCTATTTTCGATCTGTTGCCATATTCATCTTCAATATCAGAGACCAAAAAGTTCTTTCTGAGTTTCAAAACAGAAGAGTCCCAGTCAGTAACTCGAGATTTAATATATTAATACCAGAAAGTTGCTTCTCCAGTGAAAAAATCACTTGCAGATTCAAATAATTCATTCCTTGAAGTATTTCTTGCTTGTGCAAGTTCAACATGTTTCATGAATATTAAAGGTTCTCTGAATAACCATCAAACTATGGAACTTTGGGAAAAATAATTTTGGCTGGTACTAGCTGAAAGTCTCATCAATGGATTAACATTAGAACTCATCGAGGGTGCACTGATTGAATCAGTTGTTACGGTGTTGCAGAAGATTCGTTCGATTTTAAAGAAATCCTTTGAATTCTCGAAGATATAATATGTCAAGAAAACGTCAAGACAAGATTTTTTCAAATTTCTTGACTTTTCCTCAAGACAAGACAAGAAGTTGTAACCAAGACAAGAATTCTTGTCTTGCCGACCTTTAGAATTGGTAACCCTACGTTGGGCGCCATTTATGTGGCCCCTTTTTTTACATAGAATAATATGAACCAGAATCAAATCAAAATACAAGTCACATGTGCGAAAAGCAGCTTCTCGCCAGAGAACAGATAAGTGAATTCGTAATGATTGCAGATAGTTAAATTTCAAGTCAGAAGGTGCCATTGCACTGAACAGCGAAGAGATCCCGTCGCCATTACAACACATTTAGTATCATGTCGCCAGACGCCAGTGAACAATACGTGTATGAATGTCAGATGGAGTTCCAAAAGTGAAAGAAATATCACATTTTGTTGAGTTCTCAAGACGACCTATCCAGGAAAGTGTAAATGAAATCGAACCAACAAATACCAAATCCAACAGACAGAATTTCTACCCAGCAAAAACGACATAACTGGCGATTCAATGGCCCATTGATCGATGGCATACTGCTGGCACTATTTTTCGGTGATGAAAAAACATGTTCATTGCTGTCTCAATCATATAATGCGTATGTTGCATTTTCATTGTACTGGTACAATAGTATATTTCCTATGGATCAAGATAACACTATTTTCATAGTATTATTATTATTATTATCGGTATCATGATATTTTTCTCATAATTCTCTGTGTAGAAATGAACTACTTGATTTTCATTGGGAATGCACTTAAAATACGTCAGTGAGTCATCACTGGGCCAACAATTAATAAGCAATAAATAGAAGTACTGCTTCGCCAATATTGAGTTAAGTTGGCCAGCGGGCATCTTTTGTGATCTACCAATGAAAAATGCCAATATCAAGCCAATGGTAGTTCACTGGGGTATCATTGCTCTTGAAGTGATGGCCCATGTAATAATGTTTGCTAGGTTCATTAATGGATTATGCCAATGAATTATATTCGTGCATAAAGAATTAAAATGATAATTGTGCATTCAAGCGTGTCATCTCATACAAATAGCATTCGGTTATTTTCATATTTTGAAATGAGCCCTTCTCCTCCGAACTCGGGCTTTTTTCGCCAAAATATGAAACTAACAACATACAATTTTTAGATAACACGCTTCTCGCGAAATTATCGGTGATTTTCATGCACTTGTGCAAGTATAACCGATAATTTCACTATTCACTCTGGGGTTCAATTTCCTCTGCCAATTCAATTTTGGCTGAGTTGTTACCGACATGGAATCCCTCCAATTGAATCCCCTTCAATTTTTCAACGAATTGAAACCATTTACATGTCAGAATTATTCGAGAAATCGCGCTTATAAGCTCTGATTCATTCTGTTTAGAGCTGAACCAGAGTGACATCTAGTCATCGTATCATTATAGTATCAACAACAATACGGTTGTACAAACTATTTGAATTCACGCCATAAACCTATTTCAAATCGATCTCTTTCATGTATTGATAATAGTTGATACGACTAACCTTTGTTGGAGATCGTTAATATTCTTTTTGAATTATCGAAGTCGAGAACTTCCAAAAACGCTAGCTCTTGATGACTTTATACACCGCGACAATCAATTAAACGTAGTGGTGTACGATATACACAATACGTAAGTCGTATGGTAGATAGTCGCATTGGCTTGGTTATGGTGTATTTCTTCACGGTCACATTCCCGTTTCCGTAGATTAGAATATTTATGAAAACATTGTACGGAGCTCTGGGGAAGGAATGGATTCTGACAGTCAACTAGTTCATAATAGTCTATACTTGGAAATCATGAAATACCTTTTTTTTCCGGAACAGTTCTATTTAATTGCTTGCTAGCCTCATTGCATAACCAATTTGAAATAGAAACCACAATCATTATTATAATTCACGATCTGCTACGATCTGGCGAAAGTTTTTGCACAAATACCATTTCGTCATTATGTCCCTCTCATATATAAATTCAATTTTGTTTGACCCTTGATCTCACTGAGTATACAGAAAAAAAAACTAAATTACCCATATTCTTCTATATAGAGCTAGGTGGCGCCATCTCTTTGTTGCATGCTGAGTTCGTCAAGGGTAGATATTTTTGAATCAATGAATTGAGAAGGTAGAGATGTGTTACTCCACTTACCTA